GGCACTGTTAGTAAATAAGATTCAGAGCACTTAAAAGAAGGATCCAATCACAAATTCAATTGGTCTATTAACTACATGTAATATTATTTACCTAAGTGGCCCTTTTGGACTATTTCATAACTCAGGTTTATAACCTTTTTAAAAAAGATCAATATCACTGAGCACACAGCCTCTGAGAATAGTGAAATTCAGGCTGTTTTAGCAGTTATGGTCCATGATTTTCAGACCTGAAGTCCAGATTAGAAATCCAAAATGAGGAAATTACTTTCCCTGAAATACTAAAAAGGAAAAACAGCCTTGGAGAGAAGGATGGAGGGAAGCAGTGAAGTAAGATGTATGGCAAGATATCAGTTCTTTTATTGGAGTGATACAACTGGAAAATACAGGCAGGCTTTCCAGCACATAAACCCTTCTGCAGATCCGAGAGAGAAGATGTAGTGACATTTAAAGCCACACACACAGTTTTGCCAACATGTGTCAGAGTGAATCTCCAGTAGGAGGGAACAACCAACCGCTCTATTTGCAACTTGGCAGATGGGGTGTTTTGTTGTCTGCTCTAATGTGTGATGTGAGTTGGCTGCTCGTACTGAGTCCCATCAAGTGGGAAAGGTAGCTCTTGTCTATTGATCTTGTGTTCAAGATCCAGTATTTGATTTGTTCCTTGGGTAGTCAGGTGCTCAGCTCAGCTGGGAGCGATGAGCTCTGATACCTAAATTCAATACCTCTACAAGTCTCTGCTGCTTCCACTACACAGGGAGCTCGGCAATCAGGAGCAATGGTGTTTTTCCACCTCTTAATCAGCATCATGAAAAGTCAAATGATGATAAAAGCAAATAAAATCCAAGAAGGTCCTATTTTATAAAGACTACACGGATGTAAACCGGCACTGGCTCCCACCCTTTCAGTTATACTCATCCCATTTCATACAGGTCATTCTGATTCCCGTGAGACAGTGGCATGTGGGAGTGTGTTGTGTGTACAAAGTGGTAAGTGAGGGAATGTTCAACTGCTAACACATCCTTAAAAAATTTGTAGAGAAAACTCATGAAATTCTTAATGGCAAAGGGCAGTGCTGCTGAATGACCTTTTCATGTCTGTCTTAATTAACCACATCTCTAACTAATGTCTACTATTCAGTGCAGCTCCCCTGGCTCTTCTTCCTCCTTGCCCTCTCCTGTCTGCCGCTTACACATCGCTCAGGCTGCCCCCCCCTTGCCTTTTTCTGTGCTGTCACACATAGCTCTAAACTTTATGCAATTTTCATTATGTTCTCTCTCCAACAAGAAACATTAGAAAGGAAAGCTAATTTCAATTCTTTCCGTTGTCTGCTCCCCCTTGGTGCTGAAGCGATCTGTGCTTCGCCTGGGCATGATACATCAGTGTGATGAACTGATTATTTATTTGAGTACAAGTCATGATCCAGGGTGGGAGACACACAAGGGTGTTGAGGACAGTGCAGTGTCTCTAGAGTGTGCTGACTGTAGATTTCTTACAGATGGTGACATATATAAACGCAATTCTTAGTTTTCAGCAAAAGCCATTGTTTTCAGTCCTCGACTGAAGTAATACCATTCCCTTGTGATTGTGACAGGTCCATCCCAAGAGTCCAGTCTGAAAGCAGGCAGCAGGAGATCCCAACAAACCCACCTGTGTCAGCTGTGATGCCATCCCACTCTTCAGAGGGAAAAAAGTGGCCCTGTTGACAGAGAGGATAAATATGTCTGAACTGAGTGTTGGAAGATGCAGAGAAATTTTTGCAGGGATAGAAAAACCATTTTGTGTTATCAGACAAAGTAATGTGTCTGGAATCCTTCCTTCCCCAAACCAGACAAACTGTTTCTGCCAGCTATGGCTGCTTTTCAGGGGCTAAAGCTCTTGTTTCTGTGCCAGGCAACATAGAAGTGGTGTCAGGCTGAAATGGCTTGAAGATTTGGAGTAACAGTTCAGGGAGAAGGGTGACCCAACTGGAGAGAGGTGATAGAGTCCAAACTGAGTGGTAAGTCCTCTTCCCCTTGTTTAGTTTGTTATGTGGTTCTTTTAGTTTTTTTGCACCTGTTTGTGCTGCAGTTATCATCACTGCAGTAGCCAGTCCTCTGCAATCAGGCATGGACTCGAAAAAATTTCCTTTGCCCCAAATATTAACTCAAGTAGCAGAAAATGCCTCTCTGTGAAGAGAATTCATATGGAAAATGTGCATTTTTCAGGCCATCTGCAAGGATTCCAAAATATTAATGTGGCTATGTTTCAATTTTCACTACCTTTCAAGTACTTCATTGTTTCTTCTCTCTAGGCACCATGAATTGCCTACCCCTTTTCTTACCTGGATTTCATCAGTATTTTTGGCATTTTCTAATTGTTAAGCAGGAGACAGTACCACTCTGGGACAAACAAGTGGTCTAGGGTCTACCACACTGTCTGTTGCTTTCACCAAGAGATGCTGCCTCCAGGAGACTGGTGGTATTGGGAAGAGACAGCTAGAGAGCAGTGACCCTTGGTTTCGTTCATTCCATCCACATTTGACTGATGCACCGTTAGCCAGTTTTGGAAGAGAAGGACATCGGGTTTGGAAAGTCCATCTGTAATTGTGCTGGATCTCAGGCTGAGGGACAGCTCAACAGCTAAAGGTTTTGCCGAAATCTTCCATGTAATCCAGGCAGACATATATTTGTTTTGATGCTGCATGCTATCTTTTCCAAACCCAGTCAACAGTGTGTGTGTTAGGCTATGCAGATGATGGCATGAGAAGAATTTAGGGCAAATCATTAATCTTTCCTGTTTGGTTTTATTGCAGCTTCTTATGTGGTTGAAGTATTAACAAAGTGCTTTCTTGGACTGGGGTTGTACTGGGAGGTGAGATCTCACTGAGAAGTGAAGATATCTGAAGCTTTCTTTTCTTTCTACAAAATTGTTGGAAAGGGATCCAATTCTGGCACAATGTTTCATAAGGTGACATTTGTTATAACGCATTGCAAATGTTACTCACCATCTACAAAACATTCAATTAAACTGAAGAGCAATGAAAAATACCCAGTTCCACTTTAGCAGCTGCACTTGTCACCCGAATGCCTCGGGTTTTTTGGAGCCAACAGATTACCCCCTGGAGACCTCCACACAGCGGCTGCTGTCCTCTGCCACCAGTCCCACTGGGTGATGTTCCCTGCTCCTGTGAGCTGGATTGTCACACGAGGACAAAATTTCCCTTCTCATCTGGGCTTATCCTTACTTTCCCAAAGATCTCTTTGGTCCTTACTTGTTTTCAGACCTGTTCTGCATGCTTTTGTGTCTTGTCAGTATTCAGTGGGAATTGGCTGGACCCCTCTGGGATAACATTTTCAAAAACAAAATTTGAAAAATGACCTGTGAGCCTTGGTCTTTTTGAAAGAGTAGTTGTTTATACACGTAGTATATTGAGACTTCAAGCTCCTAAGTCACTCATGATCATTCCTCAGTTCTAAAAGCTTTAGTGGCATAACGTTTCCATAGAAAATCAGCTAATCTATTTATTTATGATGGTTTCTGTTCAGATCATAGATCCCTTTGCCTCTAATACCTTCCTACATGTCTTTAGGCGGAAGCATTTCTGCAGAGAGCTGTAACTCTGGAAATGTAACAAACAAAAACTTTTCTCATACTTGTAGGAAACCAGGATACTAAGAGACCACATTTTTTGAGATGCCAAACTCCTTGTTACAGATCTCTGGCTCCCCAGGAAATTCGCAGATGTAACTTTGCTGTATGCTACAACCACCCACTATTTTGCAGTGTCAGCTGGGCTGGAGCTCAGATCCACCTACTCCCACCGCGCTGGGCCTGGTTACACTGGAGCTGAAGGCAAAATGCAAATTGGCTCTGCTGAACATGGTTGCCTTATGGCATGCAGTGGGATGGTAAAAACAGAACCCATGGCGTCTCATCCTGGTTCAGCACCTGAACCACAAGATCCTCTTTCTCATTATCTCTTTATGAAAACCTCCTCTTTCCCCTGGATAGGGCAGTAAAATGGAACAAAACTCTGGCTAATTTGCTGCAGGAAACCACTGAGCTTTGGGCAAGGAGATGGAATAAGTCATCCAATTAGTTACAGCTGCTGGTGTCCCCTGCTCCTGATTTGGTGTGGTTTATCGATGCCAAACAGAGGTAGCTAAGCATAGCTCCTTTTTTGCTTACATGTAAGTACCTGTCCAGCCCCTGTTTCCTATATCTTCAGTCACCTGCTAGGCTCTTTGAGCCATGGGAAGGAAGAGCAATTAATTCAGTTTGCTACACTTGTTCCAGGGCAAGATTTACTTCTTTTCCTAGACCATAAACAACATCAGGGCCTCTGGAGAGCAAGGGTGGTGGCTTTCTACATCAGCCTGTCTTTAGGTCCTATTTATAAATGAGGAGAGTGAGAAAATACGTTTAAAAACATGCAAGCTTTAAAAATAAAACTGTGACCTAGTCAAAGAATAAACATTAGGGAAAAATAAAAACCTATTTTAAGAGATGGAAGCAGAGAAGAAGCAGCAAAAATAATCAAAATAAATCTTATTACTGTAAATAGGAGGGTGTAAATCAGCAGCTCCCATCACTGACAATTCAGAGATGCTAAGGACCTGGCTCAGCAGTGAAAAAGGAGGGAAGTGAAAAAAACATGGAGCAGGAGATAAAGCAAAGATGTGAAATCCACCTATTTGCACATGCTATACATGATCCATAAACAAGATCATGCTTCTGCACTATCAATGGCAGTGCTCAAACCAGAGCTAAAAATATACTGAGTGTCTGCCATTCTGCATACCTCTTCTGAGCAGTAGTGTAAACTTTATTTTTTCCGGTAGCCCTTTAATGTGGTGTGTTGCTCAGGGGGTGTTACAGTCACTGTGTTGAGAATAAAACAACTTAAAAAGGGATCAGAAGCTGATACTGCAATGGACCTTTGGAAATTTGTCCCCTGTGAGGAACAGATAGGGGTTGCTTGTCTCTTTTGTCACTTATGCATGATTCTTCTCCCTCCATAGGTTGCCCGGTCAGTATGAACAATGGCCCAGCTATACTACAAAAAGGTAAACTATTCACCGTACAGAGATCGGATCCCATTACAGATCGTGCGAGCGGAGGCAGAGCTCTCAGTGGAAGAGAAGGCCTACCTCAGCGCTGTGGAGAAGGGGGACTATGCCAGTGTGAAACATGCCTTGCAAGAGGCAGAGATCTACTACAACATCAACATTAACTGTATGGATCCTCTTGGTCGCAGTGCCCTTTTAATAGCCATAGAGAATGAAAATCTGGAGATCATGGAGCTGCTTTTGAGCCACAGTGTGTACGTGGGAGATGCTCTGCTGTATGCAATACGGAAAGAAGTGGTGGGAGCTGTGGAGCTGCTGCTGAATTACAGGAAGCCAAGTGGTGAAAAACAGGTTAGTTGAGTGTTCCAGCTCAGTTTCAAGCTATTATTCTGCATTAGGAAAGTGGTACTGCACAGAATGGTGTGTGCAGGAGTCATAAAACAACGTCTTTACTGTAGGTCCATTGCTTTAAATGCCCAGAGTAGACATGGGCAGACCTGTTTGGATGATAACTTTCCAGTCTGAGCAAACATGTTCTGCCTGACTTAAATACTCAGCATTTTCAATTTCACTCAGTGTTCTTTTCAGTCTTACACTGTTTGTGAACATACTGATTTATAGACGTGCACTTTGTAAAGGAATTTGGGGCTGTCTGAAAGTATATTACAATCTATAAATATGAACTATTGCCATGCTGTTGTACTGGTATTAAGTGGAATTGCTTTCCATAAGTAAATCCTGAAAACACACAAGCTTATAAATAACTGTAAGCAAGCAAACAGTCTGCTAGGTTTCAGTACTTTGCCATAGTATAGACATATCATCTCGGCCTCTATCTCCAGAGAGCTCTAGTTCAGAAATGCTGAGGCAATACATAATGTTACAGCATGAGCTAAGCTGCTATATATCTGAGCAATGGAACAACTATGACTTGTAGGAAGGATCCTTAGCTACAGAGCCATCAGTAAGTTACATAAGGATCTTTGTGAAAAAACACAAATTCTGATTGCTGTCACTTCAAGTGTCACATATCAGACTGTAACTTTTCTTTTTTTGCTTCTTCTCATTTGCATGTACTACTACCAATAGCTAGCATAGTTCATATACATTACTGACCACTGACAGTTTTTGCATGTTCACTGCTTAGAAAGGAACATTCAAAACTTGAATAATCCTTATATATCAAGCCTTGTTTTGAAATCTACTTGAACATATCCTTCTGTGTGTGAAAGAAGAAAATTATAAATTCCAGTCAATCATAGAAGAAAATGTTTTCAACGGATAGGCCACTTAGTACAGAGTTTTTCAATAGTAATTTTATGTAGCCAAAGCAAACAATAAGCATCAACCCTGACAACATTTAAGAGTGCTCAGTTTAGTACTTAGAAGCAGTAGCATTATCTGTAGCAATGGGATTCTAATGTGTGGTTTAAGCATTAGAGAAATGAAGAATCTCTTCTATCAGACATAAAAATTGGAATGTTAGTACTGGGTTTTAGTCTGACAAGATATAAGTAGCAAAATACATGGAGAATAAGCCATTTTTTTTCTTGGTCCTCTAGAAAGTTTGACCATCCTTTAGACCAACAGGACAGAAAGTAGATTAGAAGGTTTTTTCAGTAGCATGAGGAACTGCCAATAATTATTGCAGATTAAATGACAAGTTTCTCCTGAAATGTCATGGAAAGCAACCGATGGGATTCATGTGGATTTCTGTAAGATCTCTTGAATACCAAAACTTGTGTCCACTCAAATTCACAGCCTTGCTGGCTTAACTGGACAGAGACAGAAGTCCATGAAATAAGATTGATTTATTGCAGCTCAGATTCAGCTCCAATGTCTCTACTTCAGCGATACATTTCATAGTAGGTCCGTTTCATTTTCCTCTCTCGCTGTGCCAGTGTGCAGCTATCCTTCTGTAGCTAGGTTTGTGTCTGCTGTGAAGTTTACAACTTGAAGGAGAACATGTGTGTGGGAGAAGAGATGCAGTGCCAGTTTCAGCTTTATTTATGAGGTTTGTTACAAGACCAGATTTCATCAGTACATTTTAGACTAGTACTGCCTTCATGCAAGATTTTACATACAAACTAGGATTAACTTCCCTGGCTGTGGTCAGGCTTTTCTGTAGACTGCAGGAAGTGTTTGCTGGTAGAGGGCTGCAGGACTGGACTTCCATTTCAGCAGTTTCACTGATTGTTCATGCAGTGATGGTAATTAACATTAATTTCACATATAACATTCAATCAAAAGAATCACTTAGTTAAGTGAAGTTGTGACAAAGTTGGTAATCTTGTCAAATCACAAAGCTAATAAAGGAGGGCTTTCAGAACACAAGTTCCTGATGCTAATTCCACAGCAGTATTGATATACATTCAGTGATTATCTTTGCTGGAGCCTTTCTCGGAAACTCCCTTGGGAATCCCATACCTACTTTCTTTCACAAAAAGCACCTCATAAATCAGATTAGCAGAGCTTTGTCCTCATCAGCTACTTATATGTTCTAAAACATATTGAAAATCTGCTTTTTTCATTGTGTAGGAACAAAAATTCACACTTCATGGAATGGTTTCCGTCTGGCTGAGAAATTTGTAAGATAGTCTCACAGCACTTCTTATACATAAGGTTTAGTGTTACCTATTCATTAAATGTACACAAGGTTCAGTTTGCCTGAACAAACCTGTGTGAAGGCAGCTCCTCGACTTGTATAGCAGGCTGCTTCCAATTAGGGGCTGTCTGTTTGCTGCACTCCAGGCAAAGGTGCAGAAGAAGCATCTTCTGATTGCTGGCTCTTAAATGTTCAGTACATCACCTTCATTCATCTGTGTCTGGGGTCTGTGAAAACCTGTTAGTTCCTTGTCTGCCTCTGAGAAGTTATTATCTGACTCAATACCAAAGTCTTGTTTCTCTAACTGCCAGGCATGAAGAGCTGTTCCTATTTGCGTCTCTTCACGTCAGCTCAGTTAATTGTTGTCTTTGCATCTCAAAAGCAGCTGAGTAGCATCATTCAGCATAATTAATTTTATGGGCATGTATCTTCACTCATTCCCACAATTTATCATTGTGCCATAATCCTGACCGAAAATGTTACAGGTTGCATTATGCCAGCCTCTTGTGGGGTTACAGTGACTGCATCTAGCTAAAGATACACCCAGAACAAGGCAGAAAACCATGGCCTCATACAGACTTGACCTGGAGAGCAGTTTCACTCACCAGCCACAGACTCTCTAAAAGGTGATGTGTCCTGGGTGCTCCATACCTGTCTCTTGAGAGCTGCCTGAGGGGAAGAGCTCTGCTTTTATCCTGTATGATGACCTTTCCAGGGAGCAGAAGTAAAAAAAAAAAAACTTCAAATATAAAAAGTGACCTTTGTTGTGTTCCTTATATAAGAGAATCAGGGTCTCATTCATGATATAAGGGACAGGGAGAAATGGATGAAGAGATTGGGCGGCAGAGATGCTTGTGTCCTGTTATTAAGTGAACGTAGGCAGTCATTATTCTGCAAACCTTTGCTAGACTGCTGTTTAAGTGCCATTTACTGAAAATACCATGACAATGGCAGGGGTAAGTCATAGCCAGTAACTATAACAACACGCTTCTCCCACACTGCAGCTGTGCATGTAAGGGGTGTCTCAGGAGAGAAAGAAATTACTCTGTTTACATGTGGAGCATATGAGAGCCAGGAGCATGAGCCACCTCTCTCAAAAAGCTGCTACAAAGCACATGATAGATGAGTGTGCTGAACAGTGATGTGTTATAGTAGATGTATTTCCTTTTAGGTTTACCACCAAGCAAGGTTCACGGGCTATTTTAAGAACTTATAATTTCTCCTCAAATCTGTTCTGCCCGGTCCTGGCAACTTCCAGCCACAGTTTGGGGTACAGCTCTGTGAGTCTCTTGATAAAACCAGGGAGAAGACTTCACCAGGTACAGCCAGAATAACTCTATGGCTAATAAAGTTACAGCTGTTTTGAAATATACTGTCACCTATGGGAGATTTTGGGTTCAGTGAGTCTCATCGTGGTGCAAGCTTCTTAATTTTGCTACCATGGGAAGACCATAGAGGTGTGCTGGTGTGCTTCACTCTCAACAAAGAGTAAAGCCCAGGCTTTAAAGGACCCAATCTCTTCTTCAGATCAGAGCTAACTTCTCATCAAACATGCCACACCATGCTGAGGTGCACTCTCACTTTTTTTTCTTTACTATCAGTGTGCAAGCGTGGTCCCGAGCGCGATGGAAGCTGCCTGTGTGCAGAGCATGCAGTGCTGCAGGCTGCACCAGCCCTGCCCACCCACCGCACTGTAGGTAGGAGCTTTACTGACCTCAGTGGGACGTGGTCTGGACCTGGCACAGCACTAAGAGCTGATTTCTCAGGGAAATAAAGGAAAATTCAATTACCTACCCAAAATAGATTAAGTAACAAAAGAGCTTTTCTAGTTCTGTGATTTTTACAAGTTCACTTGTTATGTAATTTACTTCAATCAATCATCTGAGCTTCTTGTTTTTTAAAAAATCATAGTTCACTTTGGCCAGTCACTTTGTATTGCTGATTGGTCACTTAAATCATAGGATAGTTTCTTTTTCCCCAAATAGATGACAGACATTTAGAAAGAAAGCAGCCTATTCATGAGTATTAAGGGGAAAACCAAAACAAACTAATATTCGTGGAACCTGGAGGGTATGCAAGTGTTGTTTTTCCTGCAGAGATTTGTAGTAGTGAATATGTATTCTCCAGGAAATAAAAGTTAGCGTAATCTGGTGATTTGGTAGTTACTGTTTGCTTTTTGGGACAGCAAGGAAGCTGATGTTGTACTGCATAGTGGCAGAAGAGTAGTATACGTGTACTGCAAACTGCTTGGCATGGCAACACATACTCAGGTCTTCCACATGATGAGTGTCATGTTATTTAAATAAATAAAATGACAAACCACTGAATAATCATCAGAAAGAGTGGGGCTGGATTAGAAATAGTAGAAATCAGCACACACAGGTGCAATATTGACTTTGGCCCAGGCTCCTTGGGTCAGGTGGCTCATCTCATTTGGGGTAGGAACGTTAAAACAGCAAAGTTGTCTGTGCACAGGGCAGGTCCAATACATACAATAGCAAAACAATACTTTGTGTACTATTCTAGAGGTACCCATCAAAACCAGATCTCTGACTGGGGTCCTATGTGGTTGGAATAATTTTTTTGATTCAATACTACTATAGACACAAGGGAATGTATATATGAGGCCTGTTGAACAAATTATCTTTTTCAGTAAAATCTTCTGTCTCCCAACCTATCTGATCTGTGAGTTTTGGTGTCTTTTATTCCTAAAAGTCGTATCAGAAATTTTTTTTTGATTATATAA